TGTTACTATATCTGCCATATGCAGTTCCGACGGTGCCTTTCGCCCAATATCAGGGCTACCGAGATACGACTTAGTAATGGTCTAATTGATATATCATCAGTTTTATGAACAACTGTGATGGTGTATATTAGACTAAGTAAGTGAAGTGTAATTATTATCTTTAAGTCATTACCATGGGCGCCCACAAAAATATTTTCTGGGGGGGGGGACATGTATGTAGTTTGAATAAAGCAGCAAAATAAAATACCTCATAATATGTAATACTTCAAATTTCATTCAATATATCTTAGGCATAACACAAAAGTCTGGTGAAAAGTACGATAAACTATTAACAACAAACACTGATTATGTGGTTTCCGAGAGGCTTTTCTTGTTTCATGGGAAATAGCATTTTGCGAAAGAGTTTACAGACTGGGTAATCATTTAAGACGTGTTTATTATTTCACTAAAGATTGAAAACTATCTTCAAATCAGTGAACACAAAAGCCACTGAAACTGAGAATACGTCAGATGTGATAACTGATCATGCGTATGTTATCTGTTAATAGAAAAAAAGGTGCTACTATCTTGATTTGGGGTAGTATGGTATTAAACATAATGTAGACCTGGCATGACCAGGTGGTTTGGGCGCTCGACTCGCAAATTATGGAAGGCTAGCACAGATAGCCCTCGTGTAGCTTAGCGCGAATTTCAAAACAAACTAACCAAACAAATTAAACGTAATTATTTAAAGAACAGCAATGGTAACTATAATCAACATTATCGAATAAAAAAGGCGTTTTAGCGTAAATCTACACAATAGGCTTTCTGTGCTCTGTCCATCACAGGGAATAGGACCCCACATTTTAAGACTTAATCACGCTCCCGTCGCACCGCGCCGTAGGGAACCCGTAGTAAACTATAAGGAACTAATTCGATGACGAGGAACCCACTTTGAGACTAATAATGGCTGGAGACGGCTTGAATGGGTAATGAAGAAAAACTTTAATATAACAGCAAATGTACAACGTTATAGTCCAGCCATTATAAGGAACTAAGATACGTATACTCATAGTTTCGGCACCGAAATGCATTGTTGCTGTGCGGCACGTCATTTCAGCACTGGTGTAGTCGTTGAGTCAGGTTCAGTTCGACCTCTTCCTCCCTCTATTGCTATTATTTGAGATTGACAAATGCTAGTGATAATATTCGATACATCAGGATTAGTTTGTACACTTGGCACAAAACAAAACACTGATTTATCTTCGTCTTTGCAGGGTCATGTCCTTGTGCGGCATGTCGCAGATGCCAGCAGATCGAGTTCAAAAATTTCATCTGTTATCACGGTTAACCATCGTTTAGCCAATCAGGATGTAGTGTGACTGTGAAGCTTGTTGACGTAGGGTTTATCATTTGTTCAAAATTGAAGTCGAAAAATGTTGTGTGATGTTACAAAAAAGGAAAATTTATGATCTTTGTTTCTGTTGACAGTCTTTCTTTTTCTTAACAAAATCGATATGATTAAAATATTTCTCATGCGTCTATAAGCAATCGGATTGGCAGTGTGAAGAGTGTATAACGTAAATCCACTGCAGTAAATCTTTAATAGTACAGAATGTTAGGCCTTCGTTTTCTTTATTTTTAATAAATTTGTTAATTTAGTAATAGGCTAACAGCATAAAATCTAGCAACGAATTCCGAACTGCTACAGTACAAGTGCAGCTGATACTGTTTGCAGCGCGTTAACACAGGCTCAACACAGTACTGTTCTGCACCTCGATTACGAGAAAGGAAACTAAATATTGTTTTTTACGTAATTGTTGCTTTTTTGATAGTTTTCTAATACTTAGTCAATATCTTTTTGGAATATACATTTATCTAAGCAATTTTTTGAGTAAATATGGTCCGCTGTAGTAATATACGATGACGAGTCCCTTGATGTGAGGTATTTATGTCCTATTCGGTCATTTCGAAGGAATTCACGTTAAAGATATTTTAGCAAATGCCATTTGGAGAAAATTTTGATAACTTTGTTAGAAATGTAATACTTTTTACCGTATTTATGACTAAATATGGTCCCATGTAATCTTGTTGGGTGCCCTATGCTGTTACTAGTAGGATCATTGATATTGCTACTGTTGTTTTATAAGTGCAAACCTACACAATGGGCTATCTGCGCTCTGTCCACCACGGGGAATCGAACACTGGAATCCCGTATTTTTGCTTTTTAATTCTGTAAACTTATTTCTGACCTACCAGAGGACTATCTTTTAAATGGTGATTTGGAAGGTCAATAAACAATCAAAATTTGTTGTTGACATGAGAGGAATATATAGTGAAGTATTAAGTCGGATATTTTTTGTGTTGATCCTAACAGTTTCGTTTGCTTTTCTTGTTTTCGGAAAGCGTCGATATGTGAAAACATTTATATTTAGATGTTTGAAAAAAAAAAAAGAAAGATTTTAAGTTGTTAATTCGAGTCCAAATGTTTCATATTTTAAACATATATATATTGTAATGAATTTGTTATTATATATTTATTTTAATATCGACGTTTGTTTGGATTAAATTTATATTTAGAAACATACATAGCTTATACTGTTAAATACTTATTGTGAAACTCCCGCCTATTCTCCAAAGTTGTAGAAGATTCTCGAGAGTAAGAATGAACAATATATGTATGTACGTAAACGCTTAAATGTAGTTTTGTATTGTTACATAATCTGAATTTTCTAGAAAGCTTCCACACGCCTATAAGTATAACCAACGCGCCGCGCCAAAAAGATAGTATCTATTATTGTTTGCTATAGTCAGTGTGCTATAAACTTCGGAAGCTATAACTGTGATTGTTATAACGCTTATCAATTGGAAAACTTCAGATATTTGACCAGGAGCATTTACAAAGTTCGAACATTACAAACAATTTCAGTGGATTCTCATCTGACATTAGTAATTTTACGAAAACATTACATACGTCACGGTGGAAAACCCGGTGTGTGTGTGGCTGATAAATAACGAAGGACAAAGCGAGCTAGCTCCCCGTTAAGCGAATTGTACATCAACTCCTAATTAACTCGCTCGTCGTGAACCCTCGATAAGATATCAAGGAAATTCCAGACTAGAAAGAATGCTTTATATCGCTTGTAAGTTTGTAAAACTTTTGTATATAAACCAGTCAAGTATCTAACAGTTAAACTTTTGATCTCAAGCAGAAACTGTGTTACAGAAAGTGTCACACCACAGCACCCTACTGTTATATATCTAACCGATATAAAAGCCAGTGTGTTAACGTCACGCTTAATTTCTCGAAATACGAGGAGTCAGAAAGCCAAAATGTATTTATCCTAATAGAATAGTTAGATTACTGTCTGCTCATTACGATTTTAGTGACC